GTGAGGCAGCAGTGCTAACCACTGAGCCACTGTGCTGTCAAAATGTCCCAGGGCATTTCAGAAGTGGTATCGTGAGACAAAATTTGACGTTGAACCAAAATGCTAGCTATCAGGGTAGGTGACCCAAAGTTTGTGAAAAGGGTCAGAAAAGGATGTTGCATGAAAGGGTTTAAAGAAGAAATCCTAGAGCTCGGTGTCTAAACAGTTATTATCATGACTGCCAGTGGCAAGGTGAAAGAAATGTGATTTGATGTTCAAATGTGGAATGGTTGCAGAGGTGTGGAAAAGCAAGACCATGGAAGCTTTATTTTAAATAAACTGGAAATATTTGTAAGAACTGAATCCCGTCAACATCAGTGGAAGGGATGATCAAGGTAATGCTTTAACTCTTTTATCAGAACAGGACAAAATAAAAGCTGAGCAATTATAAGAAATGAAAAACAACAAATACAAACGAGCAGAAAAGCAGGGGATAAAAAAGACACATACATGACTATGGTAGTAGAATGCCCAGTGAAGTACTTAAAAAAGGAAATGAGTAAATAGTTGAAGTGGTAAGTGTAATAAAATATATTTTTATTCACTCTTGGACATCATTGGCTGGTTAGCATTTGTTGCTTGTCCCTAATGAGAAGATGGTGGTGAACTTGCTTCTTGAACCACTGCAGTCCTCACGCTGTAGGCTCACCCCAATGCCCTTAGGAGAAATTTCCAGGATTTGGACCCAGCAACACTGATACACAGCAAACAATAATATATTTCAAAGACGGGATGGTGAGTGGCTTGGAGGGGAACTTCCAGGTGTTGGTGTTCTCGTTTATCGACTGCTGCCCTTGTCCTGTGAGGTGGAAGTGGTCGTGGGTTTGGAAGGTGCTTTCTAAGGATCTTTGGTGAATTTCTGCAGTGCATCCTGTAAATGATACACAGATACTGCTGCTACTGAGCTTTGGTGGTAGAGGGAGTGGATGCTGCTGGATATTGTTGGAGCTGCATTCATCCAGGCAAGTGGGGAATGCTGCATCTCACTCCTGACCGGTGTCTTGTAGATGGTGGACAGGCTTTAGAGAGTCAGGAGATAAGTTACACGCTACAGTTAGGTGTTCAGGAACAGACAGGAAAGTGAGGTTGAGAATGTTATTTGCCACTTGTTGCATTTGAACATGGATTGCTTCAGTATCTGAAGAGTCGTGAATGGTGCTGAACATTGTGCAATCATTGATGACCATCCCCAGTTCTGATCTTATGATGAAGGGAAGGTCATTGATGAAGTAGCTGAAAATAACTGGGCCTAGGACACTATTGTTAGGAACTCCTGCAGAAATTTCTTAAGAGCTGTGATGCCTTACCTTCAATAACCTCACCCATCTTCCAGTGTGCCAGGTATTACTCCAATCAGCAGAGAGTTCCCCCTGATACCCACTGATATCAAGGGCTGTCACTGTTACCTCACTTCTGAAATTCAATTCTTTTGTCCACGTTTGAGCCAATGCTTCAGTGAGGTCAGGAGCTGAGTGGCCCTGGCAGTGAGCAGATTATTGCCAAGCAGATGCTGCTTGATAGCGCTGTTGATGACACCTTCCATCACTGTACTGATGATTGAGAGTAGAATGATGGGCATTAAGTGGATAAATTGGATTTGACCAGTGTTTTGTGTAGAAGACATACTTGGGCAATTCTCCATATTATTAGGTAGATGTCAGTGGGAACAGTACTGGAAGAGCTTGGCTAGGGCAGCGGCTTCAGTATTATTGCCGGAATGTTGGCAGGGCCCATAGCCTTTGCAATAAAAAACCAGAATCTCCGATCATTTCTTAATATCACGTGGAGTGAATCAAATTGGCTGAAGACTGGTATCCGAGATGCCGGGGACCACTGGAGGAGGCTAAGATGGACCATCCATTCGGCACTTCTGCCTGAAGATTGCTGTGAATGCTTTAGCCTTATCTTTTACACTGATGTATTGGGCTCCTCGATCATTGAGGGTGGGCTGTTTATGGAGCCACCATCTCCACTGAGTTGCTTAATTGTCCACTACCATTCATGACTGAATGTGGCCAGACTGCAGAGCTTAGATCTGATCCATTGGTTGTTGGATCGCTTAGCTCAGTTACTTGCTGTTTATGCTGTTTGATAGCTTCATCAGTTTGGCACCTTAGCCTAATGCTGCTCTCGGCATGGCCTCCTGCATTCTTCATTGAACCAGGGTTGATTCCCTGACTTAATGGTAATGGTTGATTGGGAGATACACCAGATCATGAGGTTGCAGATGGTGTTACAGTTCTGCTGCTGTTGATGGCCAACAGCCCCTCATGGATGCTCAGAATAGTTTCACGTCTGTTCCATCTGGCATGACAGTAGTGCCATGCAACACAATGGAGGGTATTCTCAGTGTGTAGGCAGGACTTCGTCTCTGCAAGGATTGTGCAGTGGTCACTCTTATCGATACTGTCGTCCCCTCTTGTTGGTTCCATCACTACCTACCACAGACCCACCCCAGCAGCTATTCCCTTTAGGACCTGACCAGATCGATCAGTAGTGCTGCTGTCAAGCTACTTTTAGTGGTGGATATTAAAATGCCAACATTTGCACCTTTACTACCCTACTGCCTCCAAGTGTTGTTCAACATAGAAGAGTATTGATTGATCAGCTGAGGGAGGATAACACATGGTAATCAGCAGGAGGTTTCCTTGCCTATGTTTAACCTGATGTCATGAGATTTCCTGGGGTCCGGAGGCAAAGTTGAGGACTCGCAGCACAACTCACTCCTGACTATATACACTAGCTGCCACCTCTCCCGAGTCTGTTCCGCCAGTGGGAGGGTGGTTTCTAAGACATTATAAGGTATGTTTCTAGGAGTATGACTGTTGCTTGCCTAGTCTGTGAGACGGCTCTCCCAATTTTGGCAGTAGCCCCTGGATATTAGAAAGGAGGACTTTGCAGGGTTGACAGGTACCAGAAAAGACAACAACAGAAACTGCCCTAAGTCAATGGCAGGTGGTCTGTCAGTTTCATTTTTTTGTTGAGACTTTGTAGCAATTGATATAACTGAGCAGTCATTTTAGGGCAGTTAAGAGTCAATCACATTTATGCTGTGACTGTACAGTCACATGTAGGCCAGATCAGATGAGGATGGCAGATTTCCATTCCTGAAGGACATTGGTGAGCCAGATGGGTTTTCCCAACAATTGACAATGGTTTTGTGGTCATCAGTGCATTCTTAATTCCAATTTTTTTTATTATCGTTAAATCACATTCCACCACGCGCAGTCGCAGGCTTCGAACCCAGGTCCCCAGGACATAAGCTGAGTTTCTGGATTAATTATTTAGCCATATTACCACTGAGCCATTGCTCTCCAAAAGAGAGAAAATGTGGGGTGGTACAGAGTGTAAGGAAAATCTGAAGTCAAAACAGCACAGCCAGGCAAAGTGGAAGAAAATGTACCAAGTCTGTTGGCTTGTTTTCTTCTGTAACTTCATTATGTTCCAGTTTGTCAGTTTTTCTATCCCTGGGCTGAATGGCTTTCTGTGACATGAAGTATACACAACTCGTTATTCTTTGTTTTTCCTCCCTTGTATAGGTATTGACACCTGATGAGCTTAAGGCAGCAAAGGAAGCTGTTGCATTTGGCTGCATCAAATATGCTGACCTTTCTCATAATAGGACCAATGACTATATCTTCTCCTTTGATAAAATGTTGGATGACAGGGGAAACACAGCAGCCTATTTGTTGTACGCCTTCACTAGAATCAGGTGAGATACCTCTGAAGACATGTTACTCTTAAGATATGGTCAGGTTTGTCAGCTCCCTGGGTAACTCAGCAGTTTCCATTATCATTGCCACACCAGTGGTAATATGCATAATATATAATATCTGTACAGGAGTCACATTAGACTCAAAACATTAATTTTCTCTCCACAGATATTGCCAGACTTGAGTTTTTTCTAGCATTTTGTGTGTCTGTTTTGTTACATTTGAGGCTTCAGTATTTAGTTTGTACCACTAGAGGTTCTCGGAGATCTGTAAGAGCAGTTCCTCAACATTATTTCATGTTAGTTGTGAAGATACATTTTTCAAAAATGTTTATTCTTGAAAGTTCACTCATTTGCAGAAACTTCTGTAATAAAGAACACATTTATCTGAAGACTGACTTGTTACAAACAGAAACCCAACTAACCATAACAGCTTTCAATCGGCGCTCCAAGGGTCCACAAACATCAAGCAGCATTCACTTCCAGCTTCTCCAGCCGCTGCCAAGTACAGACCTCAAAGGTCCTCAGAGCAGTTGGAGAAACTAGAGGGAATATCAATTATAACAATTCTCTAGTAATTACAATAACATAGCCAACTTTTTGACCACTTCAATATTTAATAGGAATATTTTTTAGTTCTGTCTTAGCTGTTCTAACTTTATTCAAAGGCCTATTTTTGACAAAAAAAAAGCCATCAGATACACTTCATGTAAACAATATTCTTAATAAAATGTGATATCTATGACTGACATCCAAGAGGCCTTATAAAATTGAAGTCAAAGAAAACTTTCCTTAAATTGGAGGTATATGTTGTATAATGGAAGGTGGAAGGTTATTTCAGCTCTGTTGTTTCATCAAGGCAGTGTCTAATAAAGCATCTGAAGGTAGGTGTTCCTTAATGACTTTATGTCTACTTTAAGTTCAGAATTAGGAGTATTGTCTAATCAAAGTCGTACCTGCAGCATTTTCTGAATAATGTTCAAGTTTGGGCTACAAAACGGAAAGTGAAAGGCAAAAAGTACCATTTCAAAGAAGAGAATTTAATCATTGCTTGATATTCAACAGCATTACCATCATCAAATTTCTTCCCTCATTAATCAAACTCAGCTGGACAATTCTGTGGCATGTGAAAGGCAGGGTATTCTTCAGTGAGTGAATCAATTTTCTGGCTCCTGTATGCCTTTTCACAATCTGTTAGGTAGAAACCAACAATATGATCTACATTATTACAGCTGTACCAACATGTGAGCCCGAAACTAGGACAAAGTATCACTAGATTGGGATCCTATCCACCAGCGTAAACCTTCGCTCTCTCCACAATCTGTTCATAGAATCCCTACAGTATGGAAACAGGCCCTTTGGCCCAACAAGTCCACACCATTCCACCCAGACCCATCCCCCTATAACCCACCTAATCTACACATCGCTGAAAACTACAGGCAATTTAGCACAGCCAATCCACCTAGCCTGCACATCTTTGGACTGTGGGAGGAAACCCACGCAGTCGCGGGGAGAACGTGCAAATTCCACACAGACAGTTGCCCGAGGGTGGAATTGAACCCGGGTCCCTGGCGCTGTGAGGCAGGGGTGCTAACCACTGAGTCACCGTGTTCTTGTATCATCAACAGAATGCAATGTACCACCCTCCCAATTCATGATCTTGCTTATCTGAAAGGATGAGAGGTTGACACATGAGCACCTCCGGGTCTGTCACCCTACTGATTGGGAACTTTATTATTTGTTCTTGATCATTGCTGGGCCAAAATTGTGGAACTCCTTAGCTAATGGCATTGGGGGAAGAACCTGCACCAAATGATCCACAATAGATGAAAAAGGTGGCCAATCATCATATTTTTCAGGACCATCAAGGTGTGGTCAGTAAACAAACCTCCGATCAGCAATTCTTTTTTTAAAGAAAAAAACAGCTGTAGATCTGGAATATTGTGCTGCTGCAATTCTAGAGTTCAGCCGCTAGAGATCCATATTACTTCATGCAAGTCAGAATCCAACAATATTGGTTCGATGGTGGCATATGCAGAAAGTAATCCTTCAGTCCTGTGCTTTCCCTGTTTCAAATATTAATCCAATTTAACCTTGAAGGAGATTTTGGTCTTTCTTTTAACTCCTTGTTTTGTCAATTTCACATGTCGTGAACCTACCTAGATTTTAATGTTGATTGTTTTTCCTCTATTTTTATTTCCATGTCCCCTATTTTAGGCACAACTTTTAGTTAGTTATCCATCACTACCTTGCCAGAGCAAATAGTTTCTCCCTATTAGGCCCATCAGGTCTCCATTTTAAAACTTCTATGAATTCTCCTGTTTCAGGAAAATCAGAACATTGATGACTCAAATTTGCTTTCCCAGTTCGGTCATGAAATGTCAGTTAGGATATAATACATTCAGTGGTATTGGTCCCCTTCATGCTTTTGCTACCTTTGATGGATCACATGGATTAAACTTGGAGGTACATAAAAGGATTTTATTTAAATATTGGAGTTAACCCTATTGCATCATAGAATGGAAAGCAGCAGACTTGTTTGATTTCTTGCAGAGCAAGTTTAATGGATGAGTCAATAAACATATTACAGAATCCTATGGATTTAAGAATAGGTAATCTACCATGCCAATGGGGCAGTAATTTCAAAAGATCTGTGGTTTTTGATACTACTAGTTTTTTTTTTTTAAATATACTGTCACATGTAGGTCTGAATTTGTCCCATACTTAACACTGGCACTCTCCTTTATCAAGTCTTACATGGAATGGATTTGAAAGTGCTAAATTGATGGTGTGGTGCATCACAGAAAAAGAAAATCAGATGGGTTTCTCATTATGCAGTGGATTAATGAAGATGACAAAGTGTATTCACCATCTTAGTTTTACATGTAAAATCTTTTCTAGATCCATAACCCGACTGGCAAACATTGATGATGTAACCTTGCAGAAAGCAGCTAGAGAAACAACCATCCTGCTAAATCATGACAAAGAATGGAAGTTGGGTAAATGCATTCTGCGGTTCCCAGAAATCATTAACAAAATCCTGGATGACCTATACCTACATACCCTCTGCGACTACCTCTTTGAACTGGCCACAACCTTCACAGAGTTCTATGACAACTGTTACTGTGTAGAGAAGGATAGGCAAACTGGTAAGTTAAACTACATTTTTGCATGTTGGGTAGTTTTAGATTTCACCACTTTTTCATGGTCAAAGTATCAACTCCTCAATAAAATGGAAAATTGAAATGTGCACCAGTAATCATGCCCCACTGTTTCACATACTGTCACCAAATGTATAAGTATATATTCCCCAATGAGACCACCAAAAGAAATTCATACCAGGTTTTTTAAAAAAGCCTTATTGTGACACTTTAATGAGCTAGTGAAAAGGATTTCTAATTTATGCATCTTAAACTATACCCCGTTGAAATTCACATACCCAGAAAACACAACACAAACAAACTGTTTAACGATAAACAATAGCTGGAAAAGAATATATACAGGATAAATAGTCCAGACTTAAAGATGGAAAGTTATTTTCCTGTCAGTTTTTTTTATTTTTGCATTGCTGTGACACATCTGTGGGATGACATTGATTTCAGTGTTAATGAATTCTTTCTTTTAAGCGCTCATGGTTTTGTCTCTGTGTGTGGGGGGTGGGAGAGATAGCGAGAGATGCCTGCTGTCTGGAGCCTCTGCATATTTTCCACACTGTGCTACCTCTTGGTACTTGGAGCTTTTTTTTTTAAAAAGTAATGAAAGTTAACCAATCAGTGCCTAGCATAAATTGGCTTAACTCAAAAGATGCTTGATGCCATTCACTCTCAAATTCTCCTTCTTATTGTTTCCAAAAAGCCAACATTATATTGCTCAGTTCAACAATGTACAATACATGAGATTTTCAAGGTGCAAAAATCTCTTTTTCAGTTACAGCAATCCAGTTTTTTTATTGTTTCAAAAAGATGAATATTGAAAGATCATGTTTAGATTTCTGTGGTGCTTACAGCCACAGTGACAATAACAAACACTGGCTAAATGCAGATCAGTGGGCTCTTTTAGGATCTAACTGCAGTATTTGATTATTCAACCTGTTTGAAAATCCATTATACACAATGTGTTTCCTTTTCATTCAGGTGATGTTATAAAAGTGAACATGTGGAGGATGCTGCTGTGCGATGCCACTGCTGCTGTCATGGCAAAGAGTTTTGCTATCCTGGGAATCAAGCCTGTTGAGAAGATGTAATTTTGCTACAGTGACCACTGCTTTCATAATCTTTTGATTCAATTATACATCTTAAATAAAAAGGTTACAGTAAAAAAACATGTTCATTGTGTCTCGCCCCACTATGTACCAACATAAAATCATCTCATTCAATGTGTATTTAATTTCACCTAGTAATCTTGCTGTAAGCAAAATTGCAGCTGTACCAGACTTTATATACTCTCAAACAGAACATGTATTTTTGTTACAGATATGCCATCCCCTTTTGGATGTTGCAAGGGAATATAGCAGGAATGCTAACAGCAACCCTTATTTCAAATGAATAGATTTGGTCACATTTAGCCACCACTTTTCGCAGAAAAAACATGGAGAGTACCACCACTTGTTTCAAGCCAAGCTACACACCTTTCAGACTTACAACAATAAATCACTGGCACTAGATCAAAATCCTGAAATTCTAGATGTGGGTATAGGGATACCAGGTGGACTATACTTATTGAAGGCGGCAGTTCACCAACACTACCATTTCCAAGTCATTGCTAACCTGATCAGTGCAACCCACAAGTCATGAAGGAATTAACATGGAACAACAAGTTGGAGATCCGAAACAAAAACAAATTGCTGGCAAAACTCTGCTGTCTTGGCACAGATGCTACCAAACCTGCTGTGTTAACATCTCAAGTCTGGTGACACTAATTCAATTCTGATGAAAAGTGATTTCTCATTAGAAGTGTGAATAGTGTATTTGTTCACAGTTTATAAACAATTCCAGAAGTGATCTCAACTGTTGTATAACCCTGATTCCCATTTCCATTAAAACAGAGTCTATGGTCTAGGTGCTGATTAAAAATCCAGTCCCATTTTGAAAGTAATTGATTGCTGGCCCTTTATTCTTAATGTTGTATTGCACAACATGTTTCTTTTGCCCTATTCACACCTTGAATAAGGCAAAGAAACTGCACAGGAGGGGAAACATGGTGTTTTTGCATGTAATCTTACTCTGACAGACAAGACAAAAGGGAGATAAGATATTGACAGTTGCTTTCATCATTACATATTTAATAAGCTGATGGACTGAATTTATGATGCAGTAAATATATTTACATAATGAAAGTACAAAATGTATTGATGCACATAAATAGATAAAAATGTAATTTGATTTCCTTAATCTTGGCATTATTAATAAAATCAAATGTTACACAACATAAATAGCTGCAACTTTTTAAAAACAAAATCCAGCATGTTGAAAGACAGGTCTTATACCAACTGAAAGTGATCAACAGCTCAGGTATCCTTGAAGTTACCATCTGGAGTACTATCTGTACATCTTTAATAAGTGATACCAAAAAATGTAAAATTGTTATACTTGTTGCAAGGAATAGGAATGTAATCAATACTGGTGCAGAAGATTTGTTTAGTTTACAATTGGTCCTATTTGACATTCAGCATCATTGTTCTTTCCAATCTTTCTCTGCCAATCATCATTTGTATAGGTGACTAGCCCTATTATTTCAAGGTGTACATCATTACTCTTTGCTGTTTTTTCTTAAAAACTGAAGTAGTGAACAATGGGGTTAATTTTAACTTGGTAAAATGGGCACTCCAGTTGTTACAATTACACGGAGATGTGCCCTGTGCAATCTGAATAGTAAATACCAGCAATATGAAGAACCAGGTTAGTCACAGTTGGCCAAATTTAAAAAAAAAAAATCAGTTGTTCCTTTGATACAGAAACTGGTGATAGTTTGCTTGAACGATGTAGCACAAGTCCCAAATTCTTTAATTACTTAGTATGGTTAAAGTGGAAGAAAGACCTTCCATCTTCTCACTCACTCTTAGGCTTTCCCTTGTCACCAAAGAGAGAGCACAAAATCTGCCAAAGGCCATACAATATAGAAACTTAAAACTACCATTTAGAAAATTTTGTTTCAGTAGAAGTAAATCAAACGTTCTATGAAATAATACAATTCTCATTTTGGTTTAGCTCAACTTCCACACCACAAATTAAATCTTCCCTTTTTTAATTCAATTGTCAGCTTGTTGACTAGTTTGGTAGTTCCTTTTCATCAGTAAAGTTTTATACAATTAAGAAAGCTTCTGGTCATGTTGGCCATTGTTTTTGATGCAGTTTGCCAAGACATTGTCACCCTCCTTGTAGCAATCTCAGAGTTGGGGAGAAGTTGCGCTACAAAGTTAGAATTAGCTTTGAAAGTACAATATCGCAAATGCTGGCAATTTAGGTTTGGTAGGAATGGGAGATAAACAGACTTAATGTTTCAGATGGTCAAAGAAAAGGTCAAGACCTGAAACATTAGGCTAAATTTTGTTGGGGAAATGTGGCTCCCACCACCCTGGCTAACATGTTGAAGAGGGAGATCACCCGTGGTATAGATTACTGCCCTAAAGTAATTTCTTGGACTAGTTTTAATGGCTTTGAGGAGAGTTTGCCACTTCTTAGGTAAGAGAAAGTACTGCTGCACACAGCTGCCAGCCAATCACATGTGAAGGGCTGGAGGTGGGGGGAACAGAAAAAGGCCTTCAGTCCACTGATGGGTGTAAAAAGCAGCCCAGTCATTTCTCAACAGGTGCTGCCAGAAGTACTCAGTATTTTCCAGCATTTTTTCCTTTTTTGTTTAAAATCAGTCATATGCAGATTTTATGACAATAGAAATTAAGCAGCCAATGAGATAGTAAAATATTTTGAAGTTAATAAATTGGGCTATGAACCCCTCATAGCACACCGAACATCAGTTAAAATAAAATGGTAAAATAACAAAGTGAGTGGTCATGATTATTTGACTGCACTCACTGCCATCCTCTCTATTTATACAGAATGAAAGAAGGATTTGCATCATAAACCAGTTAGGATAGCATTATGACAATCAGGTGACCACACACAGGTACAGTGGATCTTTTCTATTGAAGAGGCTCATAATTAGATTATCATTTTTCAAGTAGAGACAGAGAGCCTTTGCTTTTCTGTGTTTTGTTGACCTACAGTGCCAGAGTTTTAAAGAGAATTTGAAAGCCAATTTATTATAAGTAACCTTGGTAAAGACCTGTTAAGAAACCAGCAGCCCTGAAATGTGAAATTGAAAAATCTTTGTAGGAATGGAAGATAAGTGTTTTCACAGGCCTCTGCCATTACAGATATCTCACTTTCTCCTTAGTGAGGTGTTGATGAACCCAGTACTTGCATGTTGGCATGCTGATGACACGCATAGCAACTAACCAGCTGCTCGTTACACCTGTTGTTTGCAAGTTAACAGCTTGCTATGGATGTTGTTTCCAGCCAGTCTACAGCTTCCTTTGCAGAAGCCAAAATGATGCTTACATGTCAAAAAGGTACTGAAGAAATGCTTATGATGAGGATGCAGAACTTATTTGACCAAACTACAACAATTTCAATAGCAAAATTTATGACCTATAAACTCCCATTATTAGTGATGTGCATTAGTACGTTTTCAAAGCCCACCTTCCTTTCCCCAACCCCAACACATTCACCCCCCCACCCCCATGAAATCAGGAGCTGAGCGAGTTTGCTTTGGGTGTTTGCACTGTCCAAATGTCCCCAGTTCCATCTGCCATTACCACTGCAGTTGCTGGTTTGATATGCCAGTTATGGCTGAATGGCACTTACACAGTATTGTTGGGTTGATCAAAACTTATATAATTGAACAGCATGATTGTTTCAAATTTTTGTTTCCCGTAATTCAGCATCAGGTACTGTGAAGGAGTCTCTAATCTTGAGGAGTTCAGCAGCACAGCGATGGCCAAATACTTTGTTGTACCATTCTGGGGTTCGTCCTCTGCAAGAAACCAGGACAACAGGATGAGTGGGCAAGGCTTTATATTTTGGCTTGTATCATAATTTCTAGTCCTCTAAAACAACAGTTTGCATTTATATCACATCTCTTGGTAAACTGTTTAAAAGTCTTCAATAGATTAGAACAAACTTGATGTCCTGCAAAGCATGGTTCATGCACATGCTCATTAAAAAAACAAAAAAAATCAGATGCAACAGTTACAGATAGACTAATCTACTATACAAGGATGAAGTTTAAACTGCAAAGTTGCAGTGGATTGCGGTGTATGAGTCAACTTATGAAGTCTACAAAATCCTTCCAAAAATAGGGTCAGTTTTACAAAATATAAAATAGGAATTGCCTGTATGTTTGTGGGCAGTCATGATTTTGAAATATGAAAAGAAAGGATCATTGGTAATTTAAATTATCCTTACCCAGGAGCCTAAACCATTTGGGGTATCCTGTCTGGGACCATAAATTGGGGAACCTCTTTGGGGACTGGTTATAACACTCTCCATCCAATGAGTTAAACATTCTGCATTTTTCTGAATCATCTGATGTTTCTGTACTAAGCATCCTACAATTTGATATTTCATTATCAGACAAAGTAGTACACATTTCCACTCTTTGGCAGACAAAGTTTGTACAACCATTGATCTATTGCATTCAGTACGCACATGATCGTTGAATTGTCAAGGCATTCATCTAAAAGGTTGATGTAACAATGTTAGACCTGTCAGTATTACTACAATGTGGGTGTTATTTTCTGGTGAGGATTTCTTGATTATCTATGCTTTTGACATGACTTAATGGGTATTCGTATAAATCACGGTCTTATGAACCACTGGAATTTGGTTGTTTGGCATCGAGGCAGTCTCTTGGTAATCTCGGAACAACTTTAGTCTCAACACTTAGACGGTGTCAAAAACTAGCTACATCAAATAGCTATTGCCGTGAAATCTATTACGGATTTAGAGTTTAATTTGGCCCAACTAAGCAAACATATGCACCTTGTGGTGACAATGTTACCATTCATAGGATTCTCAAGGACCCATTCAGATGTGTGTTTCTCAAGGTCAGGCCAGTGATTAAATCGTGTTCTGATGGTGCATCTGGTCATTAGCATCTTCTTCAGGGCAGAACGTCCTTCTATCAAGGTCACGGCTGGTGTGTGTGCGCGCGTGTTCAAAACTTTCTCTTCCCTCTTCTAACAACAATGTATGCATTTCTGCCTTAAAAGTATTTAATGATCTCATCTTCAGGAGCAGGAGAATTCCAAAGTCGCACAATCCTGGAAAAACCTCTCTCCTCACCTACACGAAAAAGTTCTAATTTTAAAACGGTGCTCCTATTAATCCACAGAAGGAAACATCTTTTCCAAATCCACTTTGTCAAGTCAGTTCAGGATCTTATACACTTCAATCAGTTCACACCTCACTGTTGTAAACAGAAAGGAAAAGAAACCTAGTCTGACCAACCTATCCTCAAATTAATCTGTTCATCCAGATATCAATCTAATAAACCTTCTCTGAACCATCTCCAATGCATTCTTAAATATGGGAACCAAAACTGCACACAATATTTGGGAATATGGCCTCATCATTGCCTTGCATAGATGAAGCATAACATCACTAATTTTATGTTCAATTTCTCTCATAATAGAACATAGCATCTCATTACCTTACTTGATTGTAGGTACAAAACATGCACTGGAACTCCTGGATCCCTCTACACCTCGGAATTCCGCAATTACTCTTCATTTAATTAATACTTTGCATTTTCATTCCTCCCCAGGTGAGCAACTTCACATTGTCCCACATGATCTTCCATCTATTACATTTTTGCCCATTCACTCAACCCACCTACATCTGTCTAACCTATGAATTCTTTACAACATATTTTCCAATCTATCTTAGTCACTTGTGACTTTAGCTACCCAGTCTTCACTGGTCTCATCTAAGTCATTGATGCAAATTACAAAAAGGCAAGACCTAAGCACACATCCTTGTGAGACTCTACTCATCGTACCCTGTCAATCGAATAAAAACCCATTTGTACATAAAGTTTTCAGCTAACCAATCTCTGATCTATTGAAAAGTTACTTCCTATTCTTTGTGCTTTTATTTTCCATAATAACCCTTAACATGACACCTTATCAACACCTTCTAGGAAGCAAAGGATTCCCCTTTATCTACAGCACATGTTACTCATTCAAAGAGCTCCAATAAAATTGGTTAAAGGCAGATTCCCCTTTGATGAGGTCATGCTGACTCCTCCCAATTACATCAAGTTTCTCCAAGTGCACAGCTGTAATGTCTTTAATTAGAAATTCTAACAGGTTCACCATGACAAACATGGAGTTAACCGCCCGACAACCTCATGCATCCCTCCCTCCTTGAGGAGCGGGGTTATATTTGCTACTTTCCAGTCTGATAGAACCTTTGCTGAATTTGGAGAATTTTGAAAAATTAACACCATTGTATCTACCACCTCATCAATAACCTCTAATAGCCCAAAACGAAGTCCACCTGAATCCAAAAACTTGTCAGCCTGCAGCTCAACAGTTTGCTCAGTTCTCCTTCCCATGTGATTTCACTAGGTTTCTCTCTCCACTCCCCACCACCCACCTTATTTATAGCTATTACTGAAATAATGGTTATACACTCCAGAGTGAAAGCAGAAGCAAAATACTTATTTGTTTAATTTGCCATTTCTTATCTACTATTAACTCTTCATTTTCACTTTCTCGAGGGCCAACACTCATTTCACTTATGCTTTTCCTTTCAAAAGTACTTGCAGAAACTTTTGCTATTTGTTTTCACATTCCATGGATAGTGGGTCATCCCTTTAGAATTCTTTATTTCAGAATAAGTATATTCCCCCTATATCTCCTTAAAATGCCTGTCACTATACATCTGTTGAGCTATTCCCTAGCCTAGAAAGATAATTTACTTCAATTGGCTCAGCCTTTGTACTCACATGGTTACCCTTATTTAGGGTTGAACTACTAGTCTTGAACCCAATCTTCACCCTTTCAGACTAGATACAAAAAATAATCAAATCATATAGTAGTCACTGCCACCCAAGGGTGCCTTAACTCAGGTTAATTAATCGATCCTGTTGCATCATACAAGATCAAATCTAATATTACCTGCTCTATGTTTGGTTCCAAAATGTTCTATGAAACTATCTTGAAAGCATTCAATGAACTCCTTAACCAGACTATTACTGCCAATCCAATTTTCCAGTTTATATACAGATTAAAGTCACGCACAATTATTGCCATCACTTTATCACAAGAACCCAAGATTTATTGTTGCACACTTCGTCCCACATTGTAGTTACCATCAGGGGTCCAGTGAGTCACTCCCAGCACTGACCTCTTTCCGTTACTATTTTTCATCAACTCCAAAAGCGATTCTTCACCTGATTTTTTATACCGAAGTCCTATTGCACAGATGCCACCCTTGTTTAACAGTGCTCTCTCTCTCTGTCTCACCATCAAGGTGAATAGCTCCAAAAAGTTGCATGAACACCCTGGCCCAATGGTATCCCCTTGTAAACTTTATATGATTCTTTAATCTCCAGAGTTGCCACAAAAGAACACATACAATTGAAAATTGATGCAATATAAACACCACAACATTAATTTGTAATGACTTTTCTAGAATTGAAAGACAAAAAAAAACTTTTTAGAATCTCTGAATAGCTCACAGCACCCAAGCCAACTCTGAATCCTTTCCATTTACCTTGTATCTATTCGACAGACATGAGAGAGCTTGGATTTTGTTGCTCCAATTGGTTCGATGAGATGTTGGGATATGATCACATTTGCTCGGACTCCTAGTAAAGGAGCTTCTTTAACATCCACGCTAGTGGCAGCTAACAGGCACGTTCCTGTTTGAGAGTCTGTCTGCCAGGTCCTGCAATGAAATAAAACCATATAGAGTCACACAGTACAGAAACAGGCCCTTTGGCCCAACCCGTCCAGGCTGACCAGGTTTCTCAAACTGAACTAATCCCATTTTCCTGCATTTGGCCCGTATCCAGTTAAAGTATCATATAGAACTTCCACAGCACATCAGAAATTCATCTGCAATCAAAAACATGATGCACAATTCTACGATTTAATTTGTAGGTTAATTTGTATCTCAATATATTTTGAGTAGGATCAGGACAGCAGCACAAATATTTAAATTTAACTGTCATTTTTTAAAGAATGAACATTCCTTTCACAATGTCAAAATCCTGGAACTCCCATCCTAACAGCACATGTACCTACAACAGCTGGACCACAGTGTTTCAAGAAAGGAACTCATCATCACTGTCAAAAGGCTATTACTGATGGGCACATTCACTGGCCTTGCCAGTGACACCTACATCCCATGAAAGAATTTTTAAGAATCTTGTTAAAGGGCTGTTATTAATGGAAATTTTCTGTTGCGGTACATCACAGCAAGTACCTGTTGTGTGAGATATTGGGAGCCGTTTTGACCTGTAACTACTTCACCTGAAAATTGTATATGAATCCACAATTTAGGATTTTACATCTAGGCAGGTAATCCAAGTTTGCCATGACCAGTACTTCTGTCCGTTCTCCACAGACATTCCAACGCAGGCTTGGTGATCACTTCTGGACCCAAACAGTTGCAGTGAGAAGGCCATAGGCCAGTTCCATTATAACAACACAGCAAATTCTGCAGACGTTTTTGTGAACTGTTAAGCAGAAATTTACCGCTTACGAGATGAACAATTTTAGAAATCAGGTTTCCCATGACAGCACCGCTTTTAGTTCCGAAGTCTGAGCAAAGAATAGTCTCCAAGGAAACTACTGAAATGTACATTTTTAATACAGGATCATGTATACATTTTGAAAGAAACTCATTGGAGCTCACCTCAATACATTGTAATCTCTGGCTGGATGTGGGAATGCACTACTGATAGTATGATGATATATCTCAGTCTCATCATCCAGATTCTCAATGACCCTTGACTGAAGGAGGTCTTTCTCCCAGAGATGATGCTCTCTAAGCAAATGCTTTAGAATCTCCTCTGGTGTCTTGTCCACTTCAGTAGATACTTTCCATAACCGCAACGGATGGTTATCATCAACCTGAAAATATCGATCAATGACAGACTTCAAGTTAGAATAATGTATCATCAATGCCAAATGCCATCATTAAATCTATAATGCCGACATAAGGCATCAGAATCACTGGTTCAATCAGCTAAATAACAATGGGAGAACCCAGCAAGGGGAACAACAGTTGTCCTAAAGCCAGTTAACTAAAGCTTTTGATTTGTTGGCCGTCTGTCAATTGCTTGGGATAGACTCAAGTGGCAATGGATCAGGATTTATGTGTAAGGCCTAGCAAGAAACAGGAGTGGGTTGGGATTGAGGTGGTCATGGAGTTGTCAGCAGATGGGCATGGCAACCTAAGTGGGCTAAAGTCTAGGGGTAAAATCTCTGGTGGCCCCTGAGGGCCAATTCAGGAGGGTCACACCCCTGCCTGGCACCAGTCCCTGCAGGGAAATCCATCAAGCCAGCCACATACCATTTATCCATCGTTGGTTAAATTTGGCCACATTTAACTTCTGACAATTAGCCACTTAAGGCTGTTACATTTGTAACTCATGGATGCAGATTTCCCCCCACCAATAGTGTAATTGGGGCGGGGCGGGGCGGGGCGGGGCGGGGGCGGGGGCGGGGGCGGGGAGGTAGACCCTGTGGATTAATGAGTGCCTCACTTCAAACCAACTGGCAAGGAAGCATTAAATCTCGCCCTTCCTTTCTGGGATTCTTGGTCTTGCAGGGTTAATTAGTCTCTATCCAGTGGCATAGATTCACAACATCCCTGGATTAAGGGAAACAAAACAAAAATCAAATAGACTTCCTACTTACAACAGCAATTTTTTTTATGTATCAATTAGAAAAGCAAATGTGGAAAGTGGGGAGAAAGTAGGAACAGGTTTGGATAATCAGCCATGATCATACTGAAGGCTGAATAGCCTGTTCCTACTTTCTATGTTTAAGTAGATAGGAGTGTTTAATTTTTATTCTTGCACAAGAACTGGGTGTTACTGGCAAGGGTAACATTTGCTGCCTATTTCTAACTGCCTTTGGACTGAGTGGCTGCTAGACTATTTCAGACGGCAGTTAAAAGGATCAAATATATTACTTGTAAACCGGACCAGACGTTCCTCTCAAAAAGAAAATGTGAGCCAGAATGAGCTTTATTAACTTTTATACAGTACTGATGCTAGCTTCATGGTCACCATTACTGAGACTAGCTATATATTTCAGATTCATTCATTGATTTTTAAATACCGCCAGCTACCATGATGGGATTTGATCCCATGTCCTCAGAACATTTGTGTGGACCTCTGAATTGCTGGTCTAGTGCCCTTACCACTATGCCATCACCATCCAGAAGAAAACACGATACACCTCAGCTCAGCATGTCACTCAGAGCCAGATCTGACCTGCAACCGAATCCATTCAAGCCTGATACAATACGTTTGTTGGTGTTAAAGTAAAAATAACATTAGAGAACAAATCTAAAGCATAAAAATTGGGCACTCAGGACAGATTGTCATCTTGTGCCAGAAGACCACAAGAATGGTTTGCTTGGGATCTGAACTTTTTTTAAAACTGGTTGATATACCAGATGAAGGAGAAGTTAGATTAAGCCAACATTAGACAGACAGTCAGAACACTGCTCTAAAACTCCAGACCCAGCATTATTCAAGATTGGCTGGAGGGGAATAGAATTTCATTAATTGTACTTCTTTAATACAATCTATAGAAAACAACAATGTAGTCAGCATAAAAAAAAACTTTCTCAGGATCTATCTGGGTGATCTGAATGCTTAAGGTATTAAATATTTCATAGTGAAAGCTAATATTAGAATTAGTCTGGGCATTCTAATCCTGACCCTCATTCATTCTGATAGTGGATCATATTACCATCTGGCAGCTGTGATTGAACTCAAACATCGCAAGATTTGACATTTCAATTAAAATAGTTTCAACAAAATAAAAAACAGGACTGACGCTGCTCAAAAGTAGTACCAAATGACTTCCAAAATTATTAATCCAAATGCTTATGCAAATGGACCTAAAAGACAGTTATTTTGCAACACTTGAAATTAGTCAGGCCAGCATAAATTATTGCAAAGGTGTTCCAGATGACAATTGCTCTCACACGAGGCCAACCAAGGTAATGCCACAATTATTCACACTTGCTTTTCAATCATTTCATGAATGGAAATGTATGTGTGACTTGCTATCTGCCACTCAATATTCATTCCCCTGTCTTTTCTGATGGTTTTTTACCACCTCCTGCAAACATGATTCCTCTCCAAATCTTTTTGTTCCTTTGTCTCCTCTGGCCAAGTATCAGTCTCATCACATTTGGCAGTCAGACTTTTAGCTCCATTTTGTGGCATTCCCTAAAAAATACACTACTCCCTTTATTTTATTCTCATCCTTTAAAGCCCTTCATTGAAAGAAAACCACAATTATTCACATTACATATTAACAATCTGGACAAAGGAACTGAGGGCATTATCTCATCTGCAAACTTTGCAACAAAGTCAGATGGAGGGGCAGGTAGTGTTGAGGAAGAAAGGAGGCTGCAGAATGACTTGGACAGGTTAGGAGAGTGGACAAAGTAGTAGCAGATGGAATACAATGTGGGAAAAAGTGTGAGGCCATGCACCTTGGTAGGAAGAAGAGGTGTAGACTATTTTCTACATTGGGAAAGGCTACAGAAATCTAAAGCACAAAGAGACTTGGGAGTCATCATTCAGGATTCTCTAAGGTTAACACACAGGTTCAGTTGGCAGTTGGGAATGATAAATGCAATGTTACCATTAATTTCAAGAGGGCTAGAATACAAGAGATTAAAAGTATTGCTGAAGCTGTATATAGCTCTGGTCAGACCACATTTGGGCCAATATCTAATGAACAATGTGCTGGCATTGGAGGGGATCCAGAAGATGTTTACAGGAATGATCTGAGGATAAAGGGCTTGTGAAATGAGGAGCAGTTGAGGAATCTAGGTCTGTACTCAATGAAAATTAGAAGGATGAGGGAAATCTGTTTGAACTTGGAAAAATACTGAGGGGCCTGGATAGAACAACATGGAGATGATGTTTCCACTAATAGACTACGACCCAAGAGCACAGCTTCAGAATGAAGGGACAATCCTTTACTACTGAAAGGAGGAAGAATTGTTTTCTGTCAAAGGGTAGTGAATGCATAGAACTCTCTGCCAGAGAGTTTTGTGAAGGAAAAGTCATTGAGCGCATTGAAGACAGAGATAGATAGGTTCGTGATTGGTAAGGGGATCAAAAGGTCATCAGCAGAAGGCAATATAGGGTCGAGAAACATACCAGCTATGATTGAATGGCAGAGCAGACTCGATGGGCTGAATGGCCCAATTCAGCTCCTATATTTTATGGTCTTTGACCAAATATTTTGGTCATCTTGCTCTAATATCTCCTTTTCTGATTACTACTCTGAATTACATTTATATTAACATAAGAAATAGATACAGGAGTAGATCACATAACCTCTCAAGTCTACTTTACCATTCAATAAATTATTGGATTAACGTTGCATGCTTTCACCACATCGATGGATACTTTTAGTATCCAAAATCCTATCAATCTTTAAAATACTGAATAAGCATCCACAGTTGCAAAGGTTCATAACCCCCAGAGAAGAATCTCCTTAGCTCAGTCCTAAATAGCTGACTCCTTATCCTGAGTACATGACCCCAGAATTTTCTGCCAGGGTGTATATATTTTCAGAATCCAATTATGTCCAGTACCTTAAAGAATTTCATATGTTACAATTAAAACCTTTTTTTTTTTTTGAAAAGAAAGACTTGAGTTCTCGTCATCATTGCTCACTTTTTTGTATGCGATTTCTACATGTTCTACACTGCAGCAGCTGATCCAGCCTTTAAATTTCTCTTTCGCCTCCTTCAGCAAGTTGTGTAAAGAGCCCTGCAGCGCAGCCTTCACATTCAAATACCAGACAGAGTGGTTTGGACCATCCTCACAGTCAGACTGGAAATCCTGGCTGATGGACAAGCTCTGGCACTGCTCTACCCATTGCTCAGGAACCTGTGAGAGGAAATAAAAGTTGCCATTACCTTAATCACATCATAAAAGTTAAGTTACCAGCATGGAGATCCATGACAGGAAAGGATAGTAAATAAACAATTACTTTCTCTTTACATCTAAGTACAAACAGTCAAGTTCAGAAAATTGAGTAAATTGGGCACGTATTAAAAGAATACAGCAAAGGGAGTTAAAAATTCCACGACCAGTTCACCAGGATATTGCCAGGAACAGCAGGTTTTCGTTACAAGGAGAGGTTAGATAGGCTGGGACATTTTTCACTGGAGCGTAAGAGGTTGAGGGGTAACCTTATAGAGGTTTATAAAATCATGAGGGGCGCAGATGAGGTGAATGGCAGGTGTCTTTTCCCTAGGGTAAGGGATTTCAAGATTAGGGAGCATATTTTTAAGGCGAGAGGAGAAAGATTTAAAAAAAACATGAGGGACAATTTTTTATACATTGAGTGTTTTGTGTGTAGAATGAACTTGCAGAGGAAGTGGTGGATGCAGGTACAGTTACAATGTTTAAAAGACATTTGGATAAGTACGTGAATAAGAAATGTTTAGAGGGATATGGGCCACATGCAGGCAGATGGGGCTAGTTTATTTTGGGATTACAGTCAGCATGGACTGGTTGGACCAAAAAGGTCTGTTTCCATGCTGTAGGACTCTGACACTTCCTAGCTTTTAGGGATCAAAAAAAGGAAGTGATGCTTATACATTAACTTTCAGACTGAAAGATTTAATCATACTTTAATTGATTATTGCACAGCTATGCAAGAGGCAGAATATGGGATGGGCTGGTGGTTGTTGGGGGGTGGGGAAAGAGATGATGTTTTGGAATTATTTACTATGCTCCAGGGATCAGATGATGTGTTTTCATCAGGCTAGGGAAACTGATTCTTTGTAGTTTGGAGAGATGACTGATATCTGTGTTGAATTTGATTTTTGCTTCAGTTTCATTATTGTGCAATGGAACTCAAGTTTATGAATTATGAATGAAACAAAAAATTATTAATAGAAAACAGAAATTGAAAATTAACTTTTGCTAATCAGCACCGATTAGCAAAAGAGTAACAGTGTGCAGAAGGAAGTCATTACCAGGAAGAGATTTGTACACTCTGTAATCATGTGGGATAATCCCTGTGTGGCAGCGAGATTTTCACTCAGGTCCCTCTGGTCAGGCTTCCCGAGACTGTACTTCCTCTGGCTCACCCTAGACGGGAGGAGAAAGAAAACAATATCTAAATTGCTATCTAGTGTTGTGCACAAACTGTGTGTAACATCTATTCCAGGGATACTATCTGGCAACATTCCTCCACTCCAGCACAGAATCACAGCTATCAGGAGACGATAAGCAGCCCATTCGCAGCCTGGCTTTGAACCTTCAAAGCTAAACTCGAGAAATAAAAGAACAGCTTTATCTGTAATTATAAATTCAAAGCTCCCCCTTTTGACTGCAGATTAAACTTACATTCTCTCAAGGGGGAAAACAGCATTCAGCATGCATTACAGAATGGGAACTCAGACAGGCCTGTGTCAGCACATGAACACAGTTCATGGTACAATCCATTTAGTTGCTGTAATCTTGGGCCAATTAAATCATAGAACAACCCTGACTCTGTGCATTGACTTAATTGGGAGATAACCTGGTATAGAATGATATGATGTCTATATTTATTTTACAGTTCTCCCATTCACATCCCCACTTATACCATAGTATTGCACAAAGCCTCCTAACCCAAGGGAGGGGAGTAGGTCCGAGGCTCCTGCTATTGCTGCCCCTTTAGTGGTAATTTGATTTTGGCCGAAGAGCAGGACAAAATCAACTTCATGCACTTTAAAATTGATTGTCTACCCATCACCCATTGTACGCCTTTTAAGTGTGCACGGGTGCGGAAATTCCTCTTATTTCCACATCTCCAGGGGGTTAAAGTTCTCTTTTATACAAAGTCGAAAACTTACCTTGAGGTAGTGCTTTCCCTTCTCAGGGTATTGAGGTGGAAGAGGGATGGAGCCAGGCAGACTGCAAGGTTTGTAGGTGTCATTTGGTTCTCATTGACACAAGCCACAACGTCGCAGAGAAAGAAGAGAAGAGTCTGCAGAGCTTCGCGATTTTCATCTGGAAGAAGCAGAATGGCTGCCTGCACAGCTGGAAGTTGTTGGTCTATTGGAAGAACTGTAGACAAGCACAGACTTTATTCATACATTATTTGCTTCTGCTGGCTCTCTGGCAATAAAGCTGAGGAACGCAATTACATTTTCAGTTTTACTTTTCGCAATATTCAGCTACTTTTCTTACAAAAACTGTTATGATTTCCACTTCCTCCATCATTTCTAGTACAATATTTGGTCCTACAAACTGCAACAAATAACCAAATTTTTTTCGTATAATTAGTGTGTTTTTACGAAAATAAAAGTCACCTTCTTAAACCATAAAATATCCAGCATCCATGTGCAAATTTTTTTTTTTTTAAAAATAGTATTGTAGGTAAGAAAGCACATCATTAGCTTACGTGGTGCATTCTAAAACCAAAAGGCTACATTAATAATTTCATCTCTCTCTAAAATGCCAAACTCGTAGAATCAGAAAGATTCCCTTTTGGTGTAAAGATCACTAAACACAAGGCATCAAGGGAAATGCAGAAAAGGGCAGCTAAATGGAACTGATTGGATGTAGTCTTACAGAAAGACAGAATTGGCTCAGAGGACTTAATGGCTCGCTGCTGTTTCTTTGGTAAAATTAAATTCTTAAAACTGCCCACGTATGTGATTATCCAGTAGTCTCGCAGAATTGGGAACTGAGGATCCGCATCTCCATCTGCTCGCTCATAAAACAGCCGTTTGGGTCACATTAAAAACTGTCAAGTGTCTTTTTTTGATACAAAAGCCAGGGAGAAGAGTGGTTGCATTGTTCTATTTGAACAGAATGATAAAAGGTTACCTCACCGACTTTAAATTCTGAAGTGAAATGAGATCCAGCAATTCAAATCCTTTCAATAGTGAGAAGGAAAGAAACAGTGGACTGAAGCTGACTGCTTTTGGTTAAGTGCAAGTTATGTTGAGTATTTTGAGGGATTTTTGTGCGAGGCCTAAGTTTTCTCAATGTATCTTACCAAATGTGTCTCATTAACTATCTACCCAGCCGCTGTGGTACCCTTCGCATCTGCTTCCAGACTCTTCTTACCACATGCTGTTCCTAAGACAGCTTGTTACTCAGGTGGATATCAGCCAAAAGACCATCATTTATTGCCTCCATGCCAGCTTGGAGAAGCTGCTGCCATCACTTGCCCAGGTGCACAGAGTCTGGCTAGGTCCCTCACTGGTAGCACAGTGACACAGAATTCAAACCCATGCCACCCACAGCACACAGTTGGCATGGCTGACACTCCCTCTCACACGCAACTCCATTCTCTCACCCTGGGTGCTAAGCCGCACATTACCTAATTTTAGATCCATCCTGTCTTGACTTCCGAGACCCTGCTACTCTTTCCCGAGTGCTCAGTGTCACCCACATGTAGTCATTGTCCAGTAGGGGAACCTCACGTACAGGCAAATACTCAGACAAGTCCAACCATGAGCTTTAGTTGGCAGCCACCAAAAGGGATCTCCAAAAGGAACAAATGCAGGCTGCAGTTTGCCACCACAATGTGAACCAAATGCTGGCAGATTGACCTTGACAATCCATGGTGGCATCGACTGGAACTGGTTGACAATCAGGTCCTATCTGCCTTGTAGGGCCCAATGCAGCCAGGTTTGGTCATCCATAAAGATGGCTTCCTTCCGTCTCAATTTCCTCACCTCGGACAACTGCTCCTATTACCCCGGCTCCTTAGCTTCTATCACCTCACCTTGCTGCCAGGTCTAATTGTGCACAGCACTGCATGCGAGGATGATCCAGCACTGTCCAGACTTTACAGGGGGTCGCTCCTAGCCTGCTCAGGGCTGCAGAACCAGCCTCTCAGCGACCTTGTCGCCTACTCCACCATGGCCAACTTGAAGGTGCTCTGTCAGCTGAGTAATCATCCAATAACATCCTAGGGAGTGAGAGCTTGCTGCGCTCCATTCCCCCTTCCCATCCAGAACCCACTTCAATCATTCCATTTTCCTAATGCCTTCATTAGGGTCCATCATCACACTTCCACGACAAACAATGCAACCATATTCCCCTCATCCCTCAACACCTTTAAAAGTTTCACAAATTCTGCGGCTCTTTGGTTCAGCATTTTCCTCCTTTTAAGTTAGTATTGCTGAAGTTAGCAGCAATAAGATTATAATGTTAGTTTAGTCAGCACCAATGGGATAGTGCAATCTGCCTTTGACAAACATTTGATGCATTAGCGTGTTCACTCCACATGTCCTGCAATGGGTTCAAAGAAGTGTTTGGAAATTAAATGTAATGGAGTTTGCAAACCTATGCTTCATGTATTTGCCCCTTCAATACGACCACCTCTGACAGACTGGGATTCTATGCTGTTGTCCATCAAAAGTGATGCTGACTCTGTCCACCCGGAGTGTTGTTCAAGTCATTTCTCAGTTCTAGTCAGCATCCAGGGAACAGCAAGTGATGGTGGGGAGCTCCATAAGCACTCTGTCTGGTCACAAGGCTCTCCCCCTGCAATATCCCAGAGCCTCTATGCCCCTTTTACCTAGCACTACCCCACTGCTCATTTCTGCCCATTCCCCCAATGTGGAGAACTACCACACTGAACTTCACTTCCAAGTGCCCTCTCTTTCCCCTGAACCCCAACATCACATCTTAAGGATGCTCACCCTACTTCTTTATGCTCCCCTTGTGGAGGCCGCACTGTTGGTTACACTGCCAATAATTACCCCTCCAGTAGCTTATGAGCCCCTTTGATGTTGTTCTGCATGCCCCACCATACACCAAGTTTCCCCCCCATCTCGTTATCATTTTGGTTTCAACCTCCTCAAATGCCCCTGCTACCTACCCCACACCCCCCGCCTCAACACACTCCTTTTGCCAATATCGCCAATGCCCCTACAGAATATCTTGTGCACCCTCCTCAATGATCAAGGGACAGACTGTCAGGCCTGTATTCACCCCAGACCCCTGACTGACTTCGACGAGCTGACCCTAAAAACAACTGACCAGACCCCAATCGCTGCCTTTGCATCTCCCTATCTGACAATCTGCAACTCCCCTTGTCTGCAATTGGTGGCCCTACAGGCCAGACCTTGCCCACTCCCTGGACTGCAGTCACACAGATCCCTGTATGAATGTCCCAAGTGGACACGTGACTGTGACCAAGCCATTGGACTGTTATGTGGACTGTGCCCCTGACTGACTGTACTGGGACCTCTGGACAACCAGCAGAATTCCCTGGCTCGAACTGAGGACTAGCCCCCACTCAGTTTTCCATCTGCCCATCTGGGTAAATACACAGGCACTGCATTTACTGTTCAGGGAACTGGCATGTGCTGCTATTAAACTGATGTTTCGGCATGCTGTACATCAAGGTGTTTAACTGCTCCCCACACAAAAAACTTCCTATCGACAATTATACTTTCTGCACATAACAACACATCAATACAGCAGTACGAATAGCTTTTGCCTCTGGCTGATGTGCCTTGCACTAACAGACACAGCCACGCAAGGATGCTGCGACAATGTAGGTATGTGCTAATTGCACAAGCATCAAGACAGTGAGCGAGCCCTCAAACACAGCCTGCAGCATGCCGTGATCCAGGCACCTGTCCTTGAAGATCCCTGCTGCAACCTGAAACACAAGGTTGAGCCTGGTAAGTGGATTGGGGAGGTGCCATGATGGTCATGGGTAGCTGGCAAACGGCAAATGCCGATATCCATGAACAAGCCACGTGCATGGCTAGAACCTGCGGATCATGCTCAGATATGCTGTTCGGGACCAAACGGCATGGTAACTGCTTGCACCCAGTGGTGAGCTGAAGTTGACGGGCACTCACTCTGATTTTCTTGTCTAGATTTCTCAATGTCTAGTTTGTTTGGCGAGTTTGGCATGGTAGGAAGCTGAATATTAATGAGGTGAGTTCGGCCATTAATGCAACTTTTTATTTATTCATTCACGGGATGTGGGCGTAGCTGGCTAGGCCAGCGCTTATTGCCGATTCCTAACTGCTTAGAGTCAACCTTATTGCTGTGGGTCTGGAGTCACATGTAGGCCAGACCAAAGAAGGATGGCAGTTTACTTCCCCAAAAGGGCATTTTTACAACAATAGATTCATGGTCATCATTAGGCTCTTAATTCCAGATTTTCTTTGAATTCCAATTCTATCATCTGCTGTGGCAGGATTTGAACCCAGGTACCCAGAATATTACCAGGGTCTCTGCATTAACGGACCAATGATACTACCCCCCTAGGCCATTGCCTAGTAAGCTCTAATGCACCTTAATTGGCAGCTTGTTCCTGCCTAGTGAGAAATTCACTAGGCCACATGGGTAAAGCATTAACAAAAACACAGCTATATCGGGATAGGTCTCAACCAACTGCTCATCTCATTCTGACAAATTTTGCCAAAGCTCACTCTGACGTTGTCATATTCCACCCAGTGTTTAAAATAAGTTAACTCTCACTCTGCAGGAACAAGCACCTTTTAATGGGAGGGATTGTGTTTGTATTGCAAGAAACAACTTCTGACTATTGGAGTCAATAAAAAAAAAAGAGAAATTAATGACTTTAACACAAGTACTCTTACACTGATATATATGGAGAAATGACTCGCAGAGCTTGGTAGTCAACAAGGGTTCAGGTAGATCCCGGAAATACTGTTTTACCATGTCTGCTACATCGAATGCAGATTGGCCTTCATAGCGGACTCCATCAGGACAGTTCTCATTCATTTCTCTTAGTGCCTGGATCCTTGACTTTACTCCAGATTTTCTGAATAACCCAACCTAATATGATGTACATGAGAAAGACAATTAAACATCATAAAATTAGAAGTAAACAAACTTTTAAAAATCTTTTTTAAGAAACACATGATCACAGCTTTTTCATCAGTAACTGGCATAAAAATCAAAGTCAACCTGTATCAAAAATATAACTTGATGCTTCATTTAAACCTTCCTGCAAGTCCACTGTGAATGGAACCAAATTTGAGGAAGCATAGTCAGCGATAATTCTTACTTTTAATATAAAGCTTTTAAATAAACACTATTAAATCGCTTTACACTTTTTTTGCATTGTAATATTAACAAACACACCAGGGGCAACATCAACAGACATAAAACCTGGGACAGAGACACCACAAGCCACCTTGTATGGCCCAAATCAAAATTACCCCAACAACCGTCTCTTCTATCCAGATTTTGAATTCAGGTCACAAAGCTATGAAAGCTTCCTTTTGCTATAGATTATAAAGGAATCCCAAGTCTGAAGTATTCTGGTTTTGCAAGCATGAGTTAATCAAGAAAATAAAGCTGCCATAAATTAGCACTAAATTACCTACTTCACTCAGAGACTGATTGATTAAAATGGAGTCCGAACATATAAAGTGAGTACTTCTGAAGCCGAGGTTAAGACACAATCTGGTCCATTTTACAGTTCTGAGTAAGGGTCACCAGACCCAAAACGTTAACTCCAATTTTTCTTCACAAATGCTGCCAGACTTGCCGAGCTTTCCCAGTAACTTCTGTTTTTGTTCCATTTTACATTTGACCAGGACACGCCAACCAATGGTTTCATCAAGTAAAAAGAAACTGGACGTTCTTACTTTGTGTCAAGCATAAACACGGATCAAAATCATTTCTTAAAAAAAAAGTCACACAAACCTGATCGAGACAATGGCTCCTGAGAAAACACATGGCCTGCAGAATACCCTTAGGTAATGGATGCCCTGTACGCTGCATGTTTAGCAACAATGGAACACCAAACACTACATGGTCTTTGTAATCAGGTGCTTTCATCTTCCTGATAAACTTTGGAACTGTCCTGCAGAAATCAGGAATTCAACAGTTAATAAGATTTTATATACAACAGTCATTGCTGTTCTCAAATTGCACAGAACAAAACATAATCAGACTGTATTTTACAGTCAGCCAGGAAAGAAGTGATGCACTCTGTTGGCCTGTAATAAAACTGCCCAGAAAGATTTAGTGAGCTCTAGATTTCCTCTCTTCTGGCATTGATTTGAATTTGAAGCTGCCACTGGCATCTGAAAACAACGCAGGCAGTAATCAGACTGGAGGATTCTCACAAACAGCAAAGCAGGAAGACATAGGGTTTAGAATACACATTTAACACATACATGGGACTTAAAGAGAGAAACTAAACTATAATGAAATTAGTTATTTTCTTTTAAGTTTATTTTAATAGTTGAGTTTATAAATTGGAGAAATCAAACTGCATAGATGTTATTTAGAGAGTTGTTTAGCAAAGCTTGCAGCTTAAAATCATTAGTTTTTCAAAGCTGGAATAATACAGAAGAGGTTAATTTCCCGTCCATTTACTGAGTCTGTATTGATTGTATTTGCAAAGCCTGAAACAATTCATCTTTGGGGGAAATCAGGGCATTAGTCACAACAGTTTCCAGATTGCACAGCAGATTCCAGATTGCTAGAATTTACAGCTAAGTGTTGCAATCAGTTTTACACAGTAACGGTGACCAATGCTGACAGTTTCATCTACAATACAGCTGCCAACTTAGGCCATTATTAAATTGAGAGAGAGTATAAACAAGTGCTCTTTTGAGGGCAGATAATGAAAAATTAAATGACTGCCACTTAAAGACCACTTTTCTGTGCTGACTTGTAGGACCTCGTAGAAGTCAGATAAAAGGGAGAGAACTTCACAAATTTAGACAGAATGCCCTTCGTACTATGGTCACTGTTATGTACCTGTCCCTGCAGAAATTTTCACAGCAGCCTGACTCTCGATCTGCAAGGCAGAAGTCAGGACTGTGACAGAATTCTCCCCCCGCTTGCCTGGTTGAGTGCAGCTTCAAAGACAGCAAAGAAGCTTGACACCATCCAGGATAGACCAGCCCTCTTGATCTGCACCCCATCCACAAACATTCATTCCCTCTAGTACTGTTGCACAGCAATAGTAGTAGTGTGTATCATTTACAAGGAGTGCTGCAGAAAATTTAACAAGGTTCCTTTGATAGCACCTTTCAAACACTCCATCATTACCATATGGAAGGATAAGAGCAACAGAAGCAATGGAACACAACCAACTGCAAGTTCCCCTCCAAGCCATTCACCATCCTGACTCGGAAATATATCAGTGTTGCTGGATCAAAATCTTGGAACTCTGTCTCACAGCATTGTGGGTTTGTTTATGCCAAATGAACTGCAGCAATTCAAGGCCACAGCTCACCACCCACCTTCTCAAGGGTAACTATGGATTGAGAATAAATACTGTCCCAACAACCAATGACAACACCCGTGAATAAATAGAAACAAAAAAAAAGTTACCAGCAGAGAGGCCCTGAGGTGGCCATCAATCTCATCACTACTCAGATTTAGCCAGTAGAGGGAGAGACCTACATTGTGTGAAATGCAGCAGCTTTCACTATGTGAATGGGAGTGGTCCACTTTAAAAAGCCTCCTAGACCCATTAGAGTGCCCTCCATGCCTGGTCAATCTACTCCATCCCACTAAACCCCTCACCAGGTGCCTGACCTCACAAAAAAAAAGCCTCTACCTCACCTCCATTTACATTTAACTCTAGCTCCATGCTGATGGGGGCTGGGAATAGTCCCGGAAGTGTTCATCACTCCAAGGGGTGCTGCTGGGACCAGAGAGTTGCAGACTATTTAATTGGCAAACAACTCTTGAGGCATCCTGCCTTGAAAGGGGCATGAGTCCTGCCTTTAAAAAAAACATGGCCAAGAGGTGTCCAATCCCTGTACCAATTGGTTTGCCAGCATCTTCTGTTCCCTCTTATACCATAAAATCCAGCATTTAAACTCACGTACGGGATAAATAAACTATTCAAGAGAACATGCCGCAGTATAATTAGTGAGTGTCCAAACACTTAAAAACGTTTCTTAGCATTGTCAGGTATTTCACCACATGAGAAAGGATGAATACATTAACCACAAAATATAAATTATCTGTGGTGAAGTATTTTGAAATCATATGTGTTGTATAATTATAAAGAATTTTGTAGGATCAAAAGGTGCTATGGATAATCTGTAAATTGATACAATGAAAAGGAAATACAATCCTCATGTAACAGCAAATATTATTTCAAATAATATTTTAATACTACAAAAATGCAGGCCATGAGATGCCAACATTAAGGGATATGCTTTGATCTTCAAAGAGGCATTATTCAGCAACTACACAAAAATAGCTTTAACGTTTCGGGTCCGGTGACCCTTCCTCAGTCACCGGACCCGAAACGTTAACTCTGTTTTCTCCTTCACAGATGCTGCCAGACCTGCTGAGCTTTTCCAGCAATTTTGTTTTTGTTCTCGATTTACAGCATCTGTAGTTCTTTTGGTTTTTACACAAAAATAGCTTCTTGCAACCCTTGATCCATGTAATTTTAACATTCTTTTTAAATTAATTCTTTGGGATTGGTTCAATTTTAGTCAAATCATGATATACATAAGAGATAAATGGTAAGGACCAACGAACTAGGTTGCATTTAAAATTGAGGGATGCAGAGGACATCAATAAAACAATCTATCTGAATTGTGTTTGTGGATTATAAATGTTTCACAAACCAAGTCTAAATTATATCCAACAGCCTACCAGTTCCAGCCTTGCTTGCTGGAGGGTGAGTATTTGTCCATCAGGGTTGTGAGCTTCAGGAGAGCCAATTTCTGTAAGAGGTTGAGCTGAGCAGCAGACTGGCCATCAATCTGTAGGTGTAAATGCTGAGGATCCAAGTTCAGTTCACCCTGCCAGCATAACCTCTGTCGCCTGGAACATAAAACAGCATTAGGCTGGCAATATGTTTCTACCAGAGAGGTGGTGAATTATATTCTTCCCAAAATAACAAAAGATGTCAAAAGAAGATCTTGTGGGCAATGTTCTGTTTTAAACTCTAATCTAAACATTTGAGTTTAAGTCCTTGTTGTATTAGAATGTATTAAAATAGTCAAAAGGTAAAATTTTCAAGGAAACAGTACAATTGGCTGGTGTAAAAAAATGCAGTTTTTTTTCCTTTGCAGTAATAAGCTCTAGGGAGAGATATTTAAGAAGGGGAACCTAGTACAGCTTTCATAATACACTGAAAATGGCTTTAATGACAAAACATAAACGTCAAGAACATCTAGTTCTCCATGAATAAACAATTTGAAATCTGAAAACAAACTATATATTAGTTTCATTTGTGCGAATTAATCAGTTTTAGTAAAAAAGAAAAAATCCATGTTGAAAGTTGTAAAATTTGCCTAATGGTGCCTGTATCCATATGAAAACAAGTTCAAATGTTTAAGTTTCAATCTTTAGGTCTTCAGTATGTAATTGTAAGTCTCAGATTTTCGGAAAAGTACTGATCATTTTCCCCTCAAAAAAAAAACATTGTTTATTTGGTCCTGCAAGTTCATCTGGCTTAGTTTTCTTAGAATCTCACCAATGCATCTGGATGATCTTGCTGTATGTCACATCATTAAATATTAAAATGAACATCCAGAGTCAGATGCAAAATTTACACAATAGCTTTTAATGAACTGAATACCTTCTCAAAGCTGAAGCGGACATGCATCACACAAACGTGCATTATTCTAAACCAATATGCTACATGGCTGGTTCGCACACTCAAAGTGAGATATTATTGGTGGAGAGGGGAATACTTTCTATCACCCAGGTTAGGAACAATGGAGGACACAGATTGGATAACTGAAGAACTAGGGAATTTGAACAGGGGAATTTCAGACTGATTTATGGTTAGCTAACAATAGTTATGTTGATTGGTTTGTACAATATAGTGCCCTAATATCATAATTAAAATAAAATGTTTTATGAAAAGTAGATTTTGTACTTCCCATATACTTTGGAGAATACAAGTACCTCGGTGTTGTTACCCATGGGAACTTTCGACTTGATTGCACTATCTGCACTTTCACTAACCCCAGTCCACTTTGCTTGAATATTATATCTAAAAAGGCACACGGCAGCGATAATGCATCATGACAGTACTTCTATATTTAATCAGGGAATGTAAATGGGAATTAGAAGAGAACTGTTAAGTGGAATTAAGAGCCTTATTTCATATCAGACATATGGTACAAATCATAATTTAACTATTTATTCGCACATGTACTGGTGTGCATTGGTTAACAGCGATCACAGAGTGCTAGTTGCACAAAGTGGGTTAAACATTCAACAGTGCAAGTTTGTGAAAGTGATCACAGTAATTAATTCATTCGAACACAAAAATGATGGCTACACCAAAATATATTTACAATATTGTAAATGTAATGTAAACATTTCTAATCCGTGTAGTTCCACATCAAAGGGAAAAGATCAGTAGTTAATACCTGTTACTGTGCGTCAAAGATGAGCCAACTCCCGAGTCCCTCTCGTAATGCACGACAGATGGGTCCAATTCATTGACAGACTTTTCAGTAATGTCCAAGTTACTAGCTTGTGTTTCCTCATTAACACACCCAAGATGTTTCTCTATCTCCAGATGAATGTCCTTTGGAGAGGATGGATAAGGAGACGTTGAGTCATTTGCAGAATCAGATTCTCCTTCATCAGAAAACTTTTCTGACCACTTGTTCACGAATCTTTGAAGGCCATTCACATGCTCCATGACATCATCCAGCTCTGCAAACACTTCATCGTCAGCTGCATCTGCTGCCTCTCCATTGTTCAGGTGAACAAGCACCCCTGGGATATTATCATAAATACTTATTCGATTGTCTAATAAGTCATGGGAATCATGTCTACAATCAATCTCCTTTGAACTGCTCAGCCGACTGTCCCTGCCAAACCTACTTCGACGATAACCATGGAAACTGCCAGTTCTCCAGTTTACTGAAGTGTCTATTGGTGAAACAATACCATGCTGAAGTGCTTTAGGAAACGTTCCTGGTTTATGGCCTTGTGGAATCTGAAAAAGAAGATGGTCATGTTGACCCTTCTCATTTATAAAGTTCTGTTGGCTAACACTCCTGCAGGATGGTGGTGCTGAATCAAAACTTTCCATATACATTCCATCTCGGTTTCTACTTAAAGTTTGGCTCCGTGTTCGAAGGACAGGGCTTGGTGTGCTTACTGTACTACTGTTCTCTGATTGACTGCTACTACTGCAGGTTTGGGAGGAGTATGATGGATTCTGTCTAAGAAAGGTCTCATCAAGTTCAGCAATGTCAACACAATTGAGATTTCTCATTTTTTCTTCATCAAATCCTTCCTGAAGTACAGGCGCGCTGATAAATGGCCTACATTTTTGTTGATTGTTCCTTTTCTGACTAGAACTTCTTAATCGAAGCTTTTCCATTTTCTTTAACAAACCCTTTCCCCTGGTCTTTGAGAACTTTTGAGTGACCTTTTCATCAGTACCAAAACTGGACAGCTCATTTGGAGATGGTGGGCCACTGAAGGAAGAGTCTGCAGACGGCAATTTAATTGAGGAACATCTTGAGGAACTTCGACTAGTCTCAAAGTCTGTAGCGTGTGCTTCAGAGCTTTTTGGCAAGCTGATACCATCACTGCCTGCACTGCTGCTACTGCTGCTGTGAACTGATGAGACTTCCTGCTTCTCTTCCAGCTCTGGGAATATATCATCACAGTCAACACTCTTCAAACATGGACTACTGGGTAAGCAAAGATTTTCCGGGTGGAAAAGTTCTAATGCCTCCACACGAGACCACTGCTTGCTGCGCCTTTGAAAAGTCCACTTGCTACTGATGGCACAAGGATCTTCATCTTCAGAATCATCACTCTGAAAACAGAAGACAAAAAGTAAGCACTGATTCTTTGCAAAGACTGATGAACAGATATCACCATCATTGATGGGGCATGAATCTTTGGTGATTTTTTTTTCCGTTCATGCATCAAGTCATAGTCATCAAGTCTGATAGTGAATGGCAAAATTTAGTCAAGCTTTTTGTTTGAAGAAGCTCAAGTAGAATTGCATTCATGATCAAAATCAACAATATCTATATTAATTATATCAATTATAAGTATTTATATTGTTCATTAACTTGGACACTTCCAAATTTAAAAAAAGGACAATATGCAGGGTAGAGGCGAGAAAGGGGAGAGTCTAGAACACAATAGAAAAAAAAGCATGCAAGAGAGGGAGAGGGAGAAAAAGAAAAAGAGAGCAAGAAAACCAGTCAGATAAAAGAGTGCGTGAGAGAGAGAGCGAGAGCGAGCATGATCAAGCAAGGAGAGAAAGAGAAAAGGAAGGAAAAAGAAAGGAAGAGAACAAGTGAAAGAGAGGGTTGGAGTGAAGTGGGGTCGGGGGTTAGAGAGAGAGCACGCGCGAGAGAGAGAGGGCGATAGCGAGGCAGGAAGAGTTACAGAAAGAGGGAGAGATAAGGAAAAGGATAAAACCGAGTAGCATGTGCCAGAGTGATGGTAGTGATTAATTTCAGCTGCTGATGGTGAAACAGAGGAAGTGAATGATAAAAAACGGTGTCAAAGTAATGGACAAAGCAGGCTAGTATGAGGTAAGGAGATGGCAAGGAGGAATTTGAAACAAGAATTCTGAAATCAATATGCTGAGACATCAAATGCCAAAAGAAAGAAGAAGTGACGAGGGTGTGGCACTTTGTAAAGCTGAGAAAGTGATTTGTGATTTCTTGGATGAGTTGTGACATTCACAGGACAGAGGTGAGGAGGCCACCGATAGTATTAGAGAACTTGGATGATGAAAGCAAGGCTTTTGGAAGTGGGAGGCAAGGTGGGTAGTATTATAAAGTTAGAAGTAAATCAGCCTTGGTAATGTAACTTGTGCAAATGGAATTAGAGCTCAAGGTCTACAGAGTACAACATTCCACAACTCAGGACAGATTTGAATGGATGAGTATCTTCAAAATCCATGTATAATGAGAATTATATAGCTAATCACTCCTTAATCTCCCAACTGGACAAGCAGTTAAAGGGATTTTCTCAACCATCTTATATAGTAATGCACATACATTTGAAACAGTTTTTACTCTAGATCCTTGCAAAAATGTTACGTGATTAGTAGATCACAAAGAATTAATATGTAATCATGCCTTTGTGGCTTTTGTTCAGAACACCTCATCTAAGGAAGGAAGGGCTTACCAAAGGGAAATCACTGAAGGCACATTGTTGGTTTCATTAAAGACAGATTTATTTGCAATTAGGGTGCATTTTGCTTGCAAGTAAATCATTCTTATTTGGAGATCAGTTATATCAGCAGGCCTTATTTATTTATTTCAACTCACCTATACAGAACTAGTATCATAAAATTCACAGCTGGGTATTTGGTGATATTTGTAGGGGTTTTCTCTATTGTTTGCAACTAAAAAGTCCAAAGACACAGTGGTACAGTGTTAAAATTGAACAGAACAGTTTTGTGCTCCAAGGCATGTCATTTCTATTAGGAAGCTGTTGCAACGGTCAGTAATTCTTAAGTACAATTTACCAATATTAATTTCTATTACTAAAAACATTTATCATCTTTAATACAATGACTTGTTGGCAGTGTTTAATATTAATTATGAACACGTGAAAATGTGGGAAGAATAGAATGCTTTCGGTAAAAGAAAATGAACATGAAGGAGCACTTTCTGGCATCCCTACAATTGCACAACTTCACTTATCCTGGGAAATGTTTTAAATGTTCTGTCTTGAATTAATCTGGTTGGAAACTTCAAAAGTAGAACAACATCAGATTTGTACATTTACTCTCAAGGTAAAGTACATCTCCTTTCTTTTCCAATCCTTCCACCCCTTCATGACACCCACTGTGTTTGCCAGGACAGCCCAGGAACAATGGCCATATCAATGTGGTATTTCTTTTGAAATACCAGAGTATGATGTTATTTCACCTTCAGATCTTCCTTCCTCTTAAAAGTCTGATTCAGATTGGGAACTCATCACGATGGCATACTATTTCAGCTTACAATGTATTGATAAATCAATGATACATTTCTGAACTTTCAATAGCTTTACTTTCTCAAACAGACCATGCATGTTAAGAAACTGAATTCTGTATTTTTCACCATATGATTGGAATTTAAAATAAAGTGCCAATAGAATGAACTTACCTTTCTTCTCTCTCTACCAATTTCCAATTTCATCATTGCACATTTGTTCAATGTTTTCAATCGTCTGGAAAAAATAAACATCTAAATTATCAGAGTGTCACAGACAGAATGTCTTTTTTCTTCAAAAAACGTTTTTTTACAAAACTGTTTGTGATCAAAAGATGACTTAATGTGCAAGGTGTGCATATTTCCTTGCCAGTGTGATTGTTCTAATTTACTTGATCCCAGCAACAAACTATGTTGAATTTTAAAGCAAGAGGGCATTTATTATTCTACATTTGCTCCAGGAGGTTTAAGAGAATATGTGTCCCTCACTTGACTCACACATACTACCACACATGAAGATTAGATACAGATGAAGAATAAAACACAAATTGGAGTTCTTCCAATCTCTTTATTAGGTAAGTTTTTGTTTTGGCTGGAGTGAAGCTCTTGACTAAAACAGTTGATTCTCATTAAACTGTTTGGCTTCTTGTAGTTGAGTTACCAGAAGTTTGGTTTTCAGGGGAGTTGAAATTATAGCCAGCAGTCTCATTTCCACTGTTAAGGTACAGCTTTTCATTATCCTGGATGCATAGCTGTCCTACACCAGGTTTGATGGCTTTCACATGACATTCATCTACAAAAGCTGCTTCTCCTTGCTTTAAAGGAGATAAAAACATAGCTGTTTCACCCATGTCAAATTGAGAGTCCTTTTTCCAAATAACGTGATCTACTAAACCAATAAACGCTGTTGTTTAGTTTTACACACCATGAGAGTTTGAGACTGCCCATGTCTGCATCTAGATGAGGGCCCTACACAATACAACGAATGATTTTGGGATCCATTTCACTTTCTAACACCCACTGAGATTCAATGTCTCTTTGGCTCATAACAAAGCATGAAGACAAGTTGTTTGAAAACCTACATTGTTTAACGGCGGACCAAAAATCCTACAAACAGTGAGATGTGTGAACTTCAGAAAAGACTGCGCAGTTTCTTCACTTAATGTTCATATTTAACCAGGTATTAGCCATGCATTTGATGGTCGACATTGCCAAAATTCACATAGAATTCTATTTTAACAGCTTTCACATTAACTTTTTAAAATATAGCATTAAAATTTGTAATATCTTCATACTTGTACTGGACACGACAATAGATGATAACATTTAATAATAATTCCTGTTTCATTCCCCCTTCCTCACCCAAACTCTATTGTCTTTTAGCGCGCACATACATCTCAGCCAGCTATAATTAACTAACCTGTATTGATCTGCTAAGATGACTTAGGAACAAAAATAAAATACAATGGATTCTGGAAATCTGAAATGATGACAGAGTGCTGGAGAAACAATGGTTCTGGCAGCATCTGCAGAGAGAAATGGAGTTAACCCTGTGGAGCTGAAATTCTGAAGGAGGGTCATATTGGACAAAATACATCAATCCTGCTTTTCTCTCCACAGATGCTGCCAGAGGCACTGATTTCACAAGCAGCTTTTGTTTTTATGACTGACGAACAAGTTATGGAATGCACAAAGAACACAGTTGAGGAAAGGTACTCTAGTCACCTAACCACAGAAAACCTAACCTAACCCATCACATCTCCTTTAGGGATAAACTTAGAATTATGATGCTCTTGCAACTAACCAAAAATAAAAAGAGAGAAAAATGTAGTAGAGTGTATGCAAATTCACACAGAAACAAGACTGAGCAATTAAACTGCACAAAGGTTGTATCATGGACAGCCATGGGCAAGGTGCTGGAAGACTGGAGGGTGGATAATGTTGCGCTATCATTTAAGAAAGGCTGCAAGGACAATCGAGGGAACTATAGACCGGTGAATCTGACATCAGTAGTGGATAAGCTGTTGGACAGGATTCTGAGAGTCAGGATTTACATGTAGCTGGAAAGGCAAGGACTGATTAGGGAAATTCTGCATGGCTTTGAGTGGGAAATCATGTCTCACTAACTTGATGGAGTTTGTTTTTTTTGAAGAGGTGACTAAGAAGATTGATGAAGGCAGAGTGTTAGATGTTGTCTACATGGAATTCAGCAAGGCCTTCAACAAGGTTCCACATGGTAGATTGTTTATGGGATTCAGGGACAGCTTGCCAATTGGATACAAAATTGGCTTGACGATGGAAGACACAGGAGGGTGATGGTACAGGGCTGTTATTCAGACTGGAGGCATGTGAGCAGCGGGCTGCCACGGGGATCAGTGCTGGGTCCACTGCTGTTTGTCATTTATATAAGCGATTCGGATGTGAATATAGCAGGTATCCTTAGTAAGTTTATAGATGACACCAAAATTGGTGGTATAGTGGACAGTGAAGGTAAGTACGAGATCTTGATCAAATGGGCCAATGGGTGGAGAAGCAGCAAATGGAATTTAATTCAGATAAATGCAAGACGTTGCATTTAGGCAAGACAAGCCAGGACAGGTCTTACACAGTTCAATGGTAGGGCCCTGGGGGGTGTTGTCGAACAAAGAGACGCGAGGGTGGAGGTACATAGTTCCTAGAAAGTGACATCAGCAGTAGTTAGGGTGGTGAAGGCAGCATTTAGCACACTTACTTTCATTGGTCAGAGCATTGAGTATAGGAGTGGGACATCATATTGTGGCTATACAGGACATCGGTGAGGCCACACTCTGAGTACTGCGTACAACTCTGGTTGCCCTGGAAGGGTATTTTTAAACTGGAAAAGATGTCGAAAAAATTTACAAGGATACTACCGACACTGGAGGGTTTGAGGCTGGATAGATTGGGACCTTTTTCCGCTGGAACATAGCAGGCCGAGACGTGACCTTATGGAGGTTTATAAAAATCATGACAGACATAGATAATGTGAATAGCCACAGTCTTTTCCCAAAGGTAGGGGGCTCCAAAACTAGAGGGCATTGGTTTAAGCTAAGAGGAGAAAGATTTAAAAAGGCGCCTAAGGGGCAACTTTTTTTCCCCCACAGAGGGCAGTGAGTACATGAAATGACCCGCCAAAGAAAGTGGTAGGTGCAGGTACAGTTACAACATTTAAAAGACATGTGGATAGGTACATGAATAGGAAAGGTTTGCATGGAAATGGGCCAAAGGCAGGCAAACGAATGAGGCCAGGGATGTGCAGGTTAGGCGTATTAGCCATGGGGAGTGCAGGATTACAGGGATAGTATGGGTCTGGATGGGATGCTCTTTGGAGGTTTGGTATTGAATCAATGGGCCGAATGGCCCACTTCTACATAGTGGGGATTCTACGATATAACACGGTTATACATCTCTTTGCTCAACAGTACTTTTCCAGAAAATGATGCACCACAACACTATTTATATCATCATGCTTAGAACTAATCTCTAATTTATGCTAACCACAAAACCCTGTCATTCCCTACAATTAACCAGAATTTAACTATTATATCCCAGTTCCTCCTGCGTCTCTCTGGTGTAAATTCTGGGTGGTGTTCAGGATCCTGAATTCTAGGCCCTGCATAATAATTGGTTTTACAATTGCTCCACAGATAACCAGGACAATCAATCAATCAGTTCATGTCCTTTTGCAGCATAAAAGTGCAGGTATTCCCAAAACATTACTCTCAACTATTTCAGTGTGAGAGATCTAAGGAGTTGACCAGTGGTAGTTATTTTGTATTGGCGATGCCTTCTATTACATCAATGTTTTGCTGTGACTTCAAGTATCACATCTGACACCCATACGCCTTCCAACTGACTACAAGCAGAGGAAACATTTAGCATTTTTATACAAAGTTAATCAGCTGCACACTTAAACTGTTAAGACCAGAGGAAATAAGAACAAAGGTAGATCACTGGGGCCCTTAAGCCTGCTCTGTCATTTAATAGGATCATGGCTGATCTGACATTCCTGACATCCACTTTCCTATGTATTCCCTGTAACCCTCAATTCCCTGACTGATCAAGAATCCAGCTTTAAACTTTGTTTTGTAAGGATGAAGGTTTGATTGAAGGACAACGCAATAATTATCAAGTATTTAAAGAATACATTATACATTGATTCAGTTCTTTATAGTAGTTAGTTAACATGCATTGGATAGGGTTCCTAGACTTCCTCAAATATGACCATTCACCACAGGTCTAATTTAAAGTTCTGCAGCTGGTCACACACTATTAGCACACAAAGCAATCTCTTAAAAATAAAAGAACGAAGTAAAACTCAGGCCAAGGTCCAATTAAGTAGATTAGCCTAACTAGTGCATCAATAACATAAATGCAATTTTGTAAGTCAGCAGTCCTCCTGAGAGATTGTTTACCTGAATGTGGAGGTCAGTATAAAAGCAATAGAATCAGCACTGAACTTGGGGGGGAGAAAGAAGTTGCCAATGAAGCTCTAGCCATTTCTGGAATGGTGTTATTTTTTCTGATGGCAGTTTAAATATGGAGCCAAATCAAGGAGAATGTCAGTTTCAGTGAACTTACAATGGTGAATGCGTATAGCTTTGCTGTCATTATCCGCAAAATCCACGCTAATGCATTCAGTGAGATTGTGTTATGTAACCTACATTTACCACAGATACATTTACATAGAGAAGCAAAAAACATTATTTTATGACTTCCATGAAATGGAAGGTTTGTAGGATCCACATTTATGGCACAGACAATTAGATGTTAAGTACAATGCATTATTTTATGCCTGCAGTGACTTTTAATCTCAGTCTCAGAAGAATATCTTCTGCCTCCTGAGAACGCTTAAATTTGGATTTAAATACAAAGGAGATGAAGAAACCATTTGCGGAATACACAAAAATGAATGAGGAGGTAGTGAGGAGGATAGCTATAAACTGCAGGATGTCAACAGACCGGTCAACTGGAAAGAGTAGTAGCAAATGGACTTCAACCCAGAAAAATGTGGGGCAATACAGTTGGGGGAAGGATAACAAGGCTTGACGAAGTTCCTGAAAATGGTGAAGCCTAGGGCACTACCTTGGAGGAACTCCTGGAGTAAAGTCCTGGGATTGGGATAACTGACCCCCTACAGCCACAACCACTTCCCTTTGAACTAGATATGACTCCAACCAATTGAGACAGACCTTCATATTTTCCTTCCTGTTGACTAGTTTTGATAGGCGTCCATGATGTGGCACTCATCATAAGATGTCAAGGAAAGTCGCTCTCATCTCTTGAATGAAACAAACTTTAATTACACACATAAGCTTGGGCATTCTGTGCCTAGGACAGTGAGGACATGTCCTCTCGATGTCCAAATCTATATCTCTCTATTCAAGCAAATCAGTAACTCATGAGTAAGCTAGGTTCACTTTCTCCATGTGTGAAGGTAGAGAGGAAATTAACCTCAAAATAGCCCTCTTATTAAGCTCATTGCCACGATCCACAGTTACTTGTTACAGAAGTATAACGGCTTTTTCTACACAAAATTGTGTTGCTAGAGCAAGGTCTTACCTGCACAAAGACTCTGTGGCATCCCTGTCTAAAAACTCATGATCATTTTTCACAACTTCAATATCAATAGGAAACTGGGAGGCTGTGAAGAATGAAATGGAAGGGAGTGATTAAATTCTGCGGAGTTCTCATATCATGAAGAAATGTTTGACAAATCACAGAGACTTTGAAGCCACAATTTGCTGCTTGGGAGTTTTTGGTATATAGTCATGAGTCAAATGCTGTGATGGATAGTGACCGAAATAAGGAAATGCTCAGGAAAACATTTCATTTTAAGTTACTTTATCCACCATGTATACTCTAAGCATTAGACAATAGAAAGACAAACAACAATCTAGTGTTGAAATAGCTTAATTTTAACTTGTTCTTGTAAGTATTTATTTGAGCCATTTAGGGCTGATGTTACAATTGGACTACTCTGACACTTCAGTAGATTTCAGTGTCAGTTGTGTGAACTGAAACACAAAATGAAGGAAAATGTTCATAACCCCAAACATGGAGATCCCAGAATCTAATGTCAATTACCTAAGAGAATGGGAAACTTAAAAATCAAATAGCTTACCTTCAAATAGCTGGGAGTACTGTGGAAATCCAGCAGCTTTCAACCAGTCACAAGCATCCTTTGCTTCAATTTCTGAGGAAAAGAAATAGGAAAATAACGTTTGCTGCATACAGTCCAGCAATAAATTATGGCAGTGCACGTTGGAAACAAAAAAAAAACCTTCTAATCCAGTCAATAAGTGTGCAAGTTGTGTACCACCAGGGCGGAAATGCACACATTTCCGAACAGAACACAGCTTGCCAAAAGTGGATCACGACAACTTATTTAGGAATTCAAAGCACATTGTTGTAAAAGAACACACGCAGAATCAAAAGTACTAGCATTAATTGTGCAGCCCAAGCATTTCTGCGTAGGAATCTCCAAAGCCATTTTATCTTGATGTGAATGATGGACATGCAGAGTTTCAGTGTCTAACTGGTGTCCCAATTAAGTCACATTTTTAAAAAAAAACTACTGCTTTCAGACTAGTTACTAACTGGAATCTGAAGGCAATATCAAAATTTGGGTTCCCTGTTCTGCCTCAACTTTCAATAATCAAGCAATTGTTTGTCCCTGTTTACTTCTATTTTATAAAAAAGAGAGAGAACAGTTTTTGCATTTAGTCTTTTCTACTGAATTCTGCATGGTTGCAGAAAATATAAACACTGCTAAAGAGAGACAGAAAGTCAAAGTTTTTGTTATCTTGCATTCATAAGGACTAATATGCAAGAAACCAAACTTAAAAAAGGAGGGTCTCTGATGAAGGGTCTAGGCCCGAAACGTCAGCCTTTCTGCTCCTATGATGCTGCTTAGCCTGCTGTGTTCATCCAGCTCTGCACCTTGTTGTCTCGGATTCTCCAGCATCTGCAGTTCCTACTACCTCTTAAAAAAGGAGCACCAATTTATGCAGCATGAGAAGAAGGTGATGATTGGTTCCAACATACAGGAGCACAGGAACCGTTAACCAGTCACCTTAGTAATCTGGGGAAAAAAGTAGTCAGACCAGGCATGTGGGCTCTGATTGGACAAGATTAGGAAATGGAGCTGGGATTGACCATCTCCATGATCCTTTTCTCAATTAAATATACAGATATATTTATTTTGCCTACATAGAACGAGGTCCCATACTGGATCATTTTGGGCATTAATATTGGATTACAGAATCCTGGGGGGTTTCACACAGACATGGAGGAAAGGGCCACGGAGACTGACAATACCTGCTGCATCCTCCATGACAACACTGGACCAATCAAATTGGAATCCTCCTGCCTGAGCTGAGTTCTTCCAGATGACTGAAATTGGCAGGTAACAGCTCCTCTTGTGCATCTTAGTTATACATTGCTGTCCCTTTCCAAAGTCCTTCCTCGGTACAAAACAAAAAGCTTAGACTTTGTTCTGAAGAAGGGTCCCAACCTGAAACGTCAACTTTCCTCTCCTCTGATGCTGCCTGGCCTGCTGTGTTCCTCCAGCTCCACACGGTGTTATCTCTGACTCCAGCATTGGCAGTTCTTACTATCTCGGAGCTTAGACTTTGTGTCCCTTTGTAGCAATGGTTTTGTTCAATTCTGTTTATTTTTAAAACTATACATTCAGGGGGCAGTACTTATTGTCATCACTAATGCCTTTGAGAAGGCTTTTTTAAAGCTATGCCTTATAATGCTATCACGATCTCCTATACTCCTCAAACAATAAGCCACCTTCTGGAACCTCTGACCTGCTGTTGGTACAGCTACAGTGCTATTAGAGTAGGAGTTCTAAGATTCTGACATAGCAACAATAAAGGAATTGCAGTATTTTTCCAGGTCCAGATGGTATCTGGATTAAGCAAACTTGCAGGCCCTTTTGCTTGTATCTCATGCTACCCTTATATTCCAGGCTAAAGATAGTTAAAAGTGCCTTCGCCTGGTCTTCTTCACTAATGTTGTACTTTGCCAATAGAGGATGGGAATGCTTACTTAACCTCTTCCATATCTTATTCATTCAACTGGCACCACACCAGCCACAGCTGAATGCAGCAACACTATCCAGCTTTGCGCAGTGGTTTCATTGATTGCTTAGCATAGCACATTATTTCCAGTATTTAATGAGCATGTTGCCCTGTGCTGTAGCTTCATGAGATTGGCTTTTTATTTTAAAGCCATGTCTTACCCTGTTACTATCATGATCTCCTTTAGTCCTCAACCAAGGCTGGTCCCCTGTTGCAAATGGCAATGGCAAAGGAGGGATATGGTGGGATACGAAGTCACAGATTGTGATACATAAAACATTATTGATGATGGTCCATAGCCCCTCCTGGATGCCCAGTTTTATGTTGATACATCTGTTCTGAATATTGCCACACAGATTGAAATTAGTGCGATTGCAGGACTTCACAAGGACTGTGCAGTGGACACTCGTAGCATTACCATTATGAACAGATGCATCCGCAAATATGGATTGGCAGGGATAAAATCAATTAGATTTTTCCTTTTTTTCCTCTCACCACCTTTTGCAAGCCCAGTCTGACAGATATGTCCTTCAAGACTTGGCCAGTTGTGATGCTACTGAACCACTGTTAGTGATTATGAAACTGCTGACCCATTCTCTCATTCTGCTCCCTTGCTACCCCCAATAAAACCTCATAAGTGGTGTTAAACATGGAGCATCAGTGATTAATCAGTTAAGGGAGGGCTACAGCTGAGTCAGCAAGGAGGCTTCATAATGGCAAACACCTCCATTTCCTTTGCATGTTTTCTATTGCTGATATCTATTGTGATTCAAGATGTAACATCTTGCTATACTGTTTAAAGCAATCTGATGACTTCAATCCTACTCAGGGCGCATCTAAACCAACAGTGATACGAATTAATCACCAGGTTTTGAAGACATTTCAGTTCATTATTTAAAGCAGTCTTTTAAAACTTTACTTTTTCAAAGTCCTTTTTTATTTGTGGAATAAGGAAAATATTCCTTCACTCTTCATAAAAGTACTGAGTGTGTGTGAAAGAAGTTAAGTTGTAATAATGTCGGATCACAGAGTTGGAGCCCCGACCTACAGAGCTCTGCAGCAAGATTGGTAAGACAAACAAGGGCAGGGCTTATACAACTAAAAGTAGGGCCTTGGGTAACATTGTAGAACAGAGAGACCAACGGGTTCAGGTACATAGTTCATTGACGTTTGCATCACAAGTAGACAGGGTGGTTAGAAAGGTGTTTGGCACACTTGCCTTCATTGCTCAGTCCTTTGAGTATAGGAGTTGGGACAGCACGTTGAGGTTGTACAGGACATTGTACAGGCCTCTTCTGGAGTACTGTGCCCAGTACTGGCTTCCCTGTTGTAGGAAGGATATTATTAAGCTGGAGATGGTTCAGAAAAGGTTTACCAGGACGTTGCCAGGAATAGAGGGTTCGAGTTACAAGGAGAGGCTGGAACTTTCTTTACTGGAGCGCAGGAGGTTGGGGAGTGACCTTTTCGAAGTTTATAAAATCATGAGGGGAATAGATAAGGTGAATGGCAGGTGTCTTTTCCTTAGGGTGGGGGATTTCAAGACTAGGGTGTATATTTTTAAGGTGAGAGGAGAACATTTTAAAAGACATGAGGGCAACTTTATTTTTTTAAGAAACAGAGTGGTTCGTGCATGGAATGAACTTCCAAAGAAAGTGGAGGATACGGGTACAGTTACAACATTTAAATGACATTTGGATCAGTACATTTAAGAAATGTTTGGAAAGATATGGGTCACGCACAGGCAGGTCGGATCATTTTAGTTTGGGACTATGGTCAGCATGGACTAGTTGGACTGAAGGGTCTGTTTCCCTGCTGTATGATTCTATGTCCTCTCTTACAACTCTCTTATAATATAGTCACACTCAAAGCCAGTTTGTTCACACACAAGAGTACAGATCACATTATATTTTTCTGCACAAATGTGGGGATAGTAAATGATCAGCCTCAAAGCCAAAACCTTGTGTTACTTTCCTTGCCTGTGGTGGCTATTTCACTGTTTATATTATGGGCTCAGTCACAGACAAGTTTCCATGAAACTTTCTTTCTGGTATGTAAATTTCCAGAATTCAAGTGTCAAAGTGCTGAGTTAATTTATTCAAAGTCTTTCCTGTGCCCAGGAAACAAAAAAAAAACTAATGGATAGTAAATAAGCTAAACGGGTGAATATATTTTGAGAAGTTTACAGAGTTGTGACAGGTGTTTTCTAGTCACATGAATTTGCGTGTCATCTACCAGCTGAATGTAGCTATGCAGTGGTTGGTGGCACTGCCGATCACCCCTTAGTTGGGACCTTGCCAGTCATCTGTTATTAGAATACAAACAGTCACATGGGCAAAGACATTGAATTGGAAAGACCAGATGGCATCAATTTCTGCATTCTTTCACAGTGGAAGCACAATTCTCTAACAAAATAATCGAAAAGGATTTTACCACCATTTAACAAGGTGATTTAAAAGGATAATAGAATAGTTTAGTCACTAAAGACAATTTAGGAAAAAAATGTCTTAAAATACAAGTTACTTCAATTGCATGACTAAATTTAAACCCATTTAAATACACAGTCTTCAAAGAAAGAAAAAAAGGGTTCTACTGAAAAATCTAGCACTAAATTATACAGAGCAGAAAGATGGAGTTCAAAACACTGTCTACGTTAAATTACACAAAACACAATTCTGGTGATGATGACAGTGCTTTGATTACACTGTGCTCATAAGGCAGATAAGGCAGTGAGGAGCAGGGACAAAGTGGTCAACTATTCCACTTCCGATCATTGCTCAGTAATCCTGCCACAAGTGGACACTGAATGACAATAGATTTGAACTCCACGATAATAGCAATTAAATAAATCATCAACACCTTACCAGATACATGGGGGCTCTGGGATGAATAATACAAAATTGATTTGGACCAAAGAAGTTCAATTCCAGTTCACAGGCAGGAGTTAGATGGGACCACAATTGTTGCCTACCCAAAAATGTCTCATTTTGTCTGATTAGGAGCAGTTTCTAAAACACTTCAACTAATTAGCAAGAAACACTTAGAACAGAATGAACTGCTAGATCTTCAAAAACCTGGAATTTCTCGATGAATGAAAGGCAGGTGGGTT